CGCACAATACATCATGAAAGTCATGGCACGGTAGCCTAAATCCTTAAACTCCCCTACAACGCGAAGCATGGTGAGCAGCGCACCACAACACGCGCGCCAGTCGCTGAGCGGCTCCAGAGGTATTCCAGCATGGGCCTGGCTTCTGCCTGGCCAGCTTCTGAACATCGAAACTCCTTTTGAAAGAACGTCTTACATACTGTAGACTACTCCGCCGTGACCATGCAGACGCTCTTGCATCCGAACTGCAGCTTAGCTTGGCATGGTGCTTACAAATCACAAACACGAAGGTATCTTGACACTTTTGGAGGGCATTGGCCCTCGTTCTGGAACGCTCGCCCTGAGGATTGTCTGCGACGTCCATGCAAGCATGCGATGTTGCCAGCTTCCGCTGAGTTGCTGCAGCATTGCTAGAAATGCGGTGTTTGCCAAGGCGATCCAGGCTCAAGGCGTCACCCTCGCAGGCAGCTGAGGCGGTGTAAAATGAAAATGCAAAAATCAACACAATGGCTCCCAAGAGCCCACTCCCAGTGCCTGCCACATATTTCTACGCTCCCTAAGACTCTCCCATTTGAGAAAAACTCCGGCATCTGAAAGGCCCGCGTGCCTCTGAAACAAGGAAGACCGTGTTGGAGGCCAGGGCACCTTGTCATTGCAAAACCCAGCTGGGTAAGTCACGCAGAACATGTGCAGCCTGCCTGGAAGGAAAAATGAGATTACAGTCAATCCAGAAATATCATGCTTTGGCAAAACTCATACAAAACAGAAATACTTGAGAAGGCCAGCGCTCCAAGCTGAACAGTTTAACCTAAAAATACCTTCGGAGCATTGACATTAAGTATTACTCCAACTATATCTAAACTAAACAGGAGCATTTGAGAAGATTCAGCTATGATTTCCATAATTTAAACTGACTGCGCAGTTCCACTCTCAGGCACTTTTCTTGTCCAACATCCTGTTGCAGCGGTCATGGCTCCTGCCAATGGCTTTCTCAAGACAGGGGAGAGCCAAGGCGAATGTAGGGCTTTCTACCCGGGTAGACCAGAGGTTCAGCAGCACGAAATCTGATGGCATTCAAGAGGGACTTCCTTGACAACACTGTCTAGACAGGTATATTGCAATTTGTGCCGGAAAATGGTTGGCAGAGCTCCTGCGAACGATAGGGTACCAAACACATGCACCATCACAAAACGGAAAATTTACACGCACGATCCAAAGATGTCCAAATCCAAAAGTAGATAGGGCATTCCAAGCTCACCGGTCCTGTACACTTTGATTGAGTAGCCGAGACTCTCAATCTGTTCCTTGGCCGCTGCCTGCCCAGCGCAAGATGTGGAAATCCCCAAGCCAGGAACAGGGGCAGCTGCCACGCCAGGCTGGGAATTGCATTTCAAGAGGGACTCGCAGCAGAAGCATAAGGTAACATGCTGGCAGCGCAGATGCTCGAAAGGCCCGCTCTCCAATCCAAACCTCGTTTGGATCAAAGGTGGTGACACCGAAAGACATTGAAGCGAAGCACGGCAGATGGACATGCAGCCAGCAAGCGTGGTTGCTGCCTTCTCTTAGTTAGTTAGTATCAGGATTGTCCAGATCTGTCTCATCCTGGTAAAGACTGGGGACGGCCAAGGCCACGACAAGTGAACAAACTGTTTTTGCACCACTCGGCTCCCCCTGCAGCGGCATCCTCGGTCCACGTCATGCTCGACAAAAAGTAGCCTAGGCTCCCCTTACACATGGAACCCCTATCGGCCCCCAGCTTCAAAGGCGGTAGTCGAAAAGTGGCACCAAACCTCCCAACTACTGTGTGCCAAGCCTGGCCCCCGGTTCAACCCAAAACCTAGCTGGATCCTCAAGATGGGATCCTCCCGAAAAGCACCACGGAAACCTCGGCATGTACACACAGAACTCCCTGTCATGAGGCATGGACCAGTCGGCTGATTGCTGCCTTGCGACTTCCAGGAGCTGTGAGCAGGTGCCCTCTCCCAAACGAACATGGAGCCCAGGCTACGACTTTTATGATAATGGGACTATATTGGACTATATGGGTTTCCATGTTTGTTTGTGGGATGCTTTGTAGGCAGCTCCCAAGATCATGGCAAGGTCGCTTGTTCTGGGGTGTAGGGCTTTGGGTTGGGGATCCCCCCAGCTCTGGACCCTAAGCCCGAAACCCAAATACATCCTGTCAGGGCTACACAAAGCTGCATTCCATTCCGGTGCTGAGAAGGACCAAGCCCTGCACTGTTCAGGCATCGGTTCTGAGCCAAGCCAGAGCTGCGCCTTGATCAGAACCCTAAACTTGAGGCAGTTGGGGTTTAGGTTGTTTTGGGGGGAGAGAGGCTTAAATGACTTGAAGTCAAGGGAGTCTAGGGCGCACCTACCTCAGTCTGCTGATCCATACCAGGTTTAGCAATTTGAGCCTTCAAAACCAGAAGGAATGATACGGGCCTCAAAGACGGTGTGAGGATGTAGGGCTTAGGGTTACAGAAGAGGAATGAGGAGAAAGCTTGTGGTAGCTTGAAAGCTTGAAGGCAAAGCTTTGTAGATTTCATACTTCCTTAGGAAGCAGGAACCATGAAGGACGCATCGCAAAAAAACAGTGCGCATAAGTCCTGTCTCTTACTCTTTAAATGCCATCAGGACTACAAGGTCTACAAAATCTAAAAATTGCATGTCAGTTGCAAGACACATGAAAGAGAAGGTGAGAAGAAAGTCGAATAGCAAAGCGTCCCACGCTTCTCCAGAAGCTACATTCTGAGTGTCCGGGTGGCCCCATCTAAGCTGGTTCATATGCCGTACAGGAAATGACTCGTAAATGATGAAAAGACTTCATGTTGCATCAGTTAGAGAACAAGCAACACAAGGAAGCCTGTGTCTACCCTCACAGCAAAGAATGGCAACAGTTAACCAAAAAGAGCAGGGAATGTCATGAAGATTGGGCCTGCATAGCCGCATACACCCAATCCCCCTAAACATCAGCAGCAATTTAGCACTCCACAACACAGGCCCCACAATAGAGACCCAAATTCTGGGAAGCCCCTGCTATCTCCCCGCAACATTCCAAAAAAAGATTCCCCAATTCTTCAACGGAAGGGCGGTCTCCTGGCTGATGTCGGAGGCACCAGGGGCCCCCATCGGAACCTCAACAGAATGCTTCGGTGAATTTGCATCGCGAGTTGGGCTTGTCTGGTCCTAATCTACCCTAGTAATGAAAGCACATACATCCTCGTGCGGACCCCCATCACCTCAGACTTGACGGGCTTTCAAAACGCAATGCCGCTGGCAACTTGTATGAGCCAGAGAAACCCAGCCGTCCGAAGAATGCTTCAAGAATCTTAGCCTGTGTGCAGGGTCAAAAAAACGGGCCGCGGCCCAACCGAAGCCGTTGTTGGCTGAGGGTGGTGGTGCCTTATTCAAGAGCTGCTGCAATGTGAGGGAAGTGAGGAAAGCGAGGCTAGGTGAGGCATTCTGAAATAATTCTACCAGCCTACCTGTGCAAGAACTGCCCATGCTGAGAGCGGAGCCGCGAAGCCTGCGCAAGGAGAGATATCTGGGGGAGGTCCCTACAGTAAGGATCATAGCATTTGAGGCTCTACATTGGGGTCCCCCATGGAAAATACCATCTGATGTACCAATACTGGTAGCTATGGCAGCTCCCGTCTCCCAGCACCTCAAGCTCATGAGCGGCAACAGCACGACCACAACAACAATCACAACAGCAACTAATTACTGCCCAAACATGACAGGAAAGACAGCAAGAATGAGACTAAAAGTGAGGAGCTTCATGCCGCAGCCTCCAGCAACTTGCCCCAACGGATAAAGACCGTTGGCCTGCCCGTGAAAGGTGCGAGGCTATCTCACGCATGGACAGCAACATACATAAACGTTTCAAGGGTCACCATGTAATCTGTTTCTGCCTGCTTTGCGGGACTAAGATCTTCTGGGATAAGATAAACACGTACAATGAGCAATCTGAGGAATGCCATGGCAGGGGGCCTCGACACAATCTGAAGCATTCCCACGTCCAAACCATGGCCATGACTGTTTCTTCATGC